CTCTCTCTCTCTCTCTCTTTCTTTCTCTCTTTCTTTCTTTCTTTCTTTCTTTCTTTCTTTCTTTCTTTCTTTCTTTCTTTCTAGACAGGGCCTTGCTCTGTACTCCAGGCTGGGCTTGAACTTACTATGTAGCCCAAGCTGGGCTCAAACTCTTGGCAATCCTCCTGCCTCAGCCTCCCAAGTGCTAGGATTACAGGCATGTATGCCACCACATCCAGCTTACAACTTTTCATTAAAGCAAGTATCATTGGAGACATACTACAGGGCAGGTACTTTATTATTTCCAAACAGCTCCTTATTCTTTCATGCAAATACTAAACACTCTAGCTATTATGGGCAAATATAATTTTTCAACCAGAGATAGTTATCCAAGAATGAGTTAAATTTTCTCTTAACCATGAAAACCTTTGCATTTTTCAATTTTTTGGTACTGGGAATCGAACTCAGGACCTTGCACTTGTCAGGCAGGCACTGTGCCACTAAACTGTATCCCCACCCCAAAACCTTTTAATTAAAAGACAAGAGGTTAATATAAAATGTATCAATCTGCTGGCTTTTCAATTATCTATACTATCCCCATCATATGTGATCTTAAAGCTTGATAAAAGTCAGCGTCTTTATTCCAAACACATCCCCAGAGGCTTCTTCCCTGCCTTTCTCACCTAGATTTCATAGTACATCCCTTAATCCACTCTTAAATCGGTATCCTCAGCATTCCTTATCCTTCCTCCATCAAAAGTGCCCTCTTCCTATGTATTCCACTCTATCCTTGAACTCACTATGTAACCAACGGTAGCCTCAAACTCACAGCAATCTTCTTGCCTCAGCCTTCTGAATGTTGGGATATCCCTCTATCTAACCAACAGGTTTCTCAGGCTACTAAAGGATAATACAATTAAAAGACTGGTAAAACTCTCCAGATAAAACCGTCCGATCTTAACAAGGCCTACAGCATGCTGCTCAACACTTCTGTATGTGTCTCTCAGATTGTTTTTCTTATTTCCTAGAGCAACCATTCTAAACTTTCACTATTCTCTTCAAGATCGTACCATCAGGACTATCTCAGTAAATGAAACCACTTCCTTTTCTCAAAGAAAGCACTGTAACTATTAAACATTAACTCCTCCTTCTCCAAAGCATGTTTCTGTTCACACCTTTAAGTGTTTCTCAGCATCATAATAATAATAATAAATCAAAAATAAAAATCCCAGAAAGCTCTGTCCTGTTTGTTTAAATCTTTTTCCAGTTTTTTCAATCCCAGCTTAGTCAACAGTCTCCAAAAATCTTCTCCATTTTTCTTTCCTCTATTTTTTTTCTTTCTTCCTATAAAACCCTTCCCTTGGGAGCTGGGGATTTAGCTCAGCGGCACAGTGCCTGCCTGGCAAGTGTGAGGTCGTGAGTTTGATTCCCGGTACGAGGAAAAAAAACAAAAAAAAACCTTTCCTAAGGCAGAAAAAATACCTCTGGAGACTGTGACTTCTCTGTTTTTTCTTTCATGTCCAATTTTATAAAAGTAATCTAGGGCTGGGCGTGGTGGAGCGCACCTGTAATCCCAGCACTAGGGAGACTGAGGCAGGAGGATCACTGCAAGTTCAAAGCCAGCCTGGGCTACAAAGTGAGCTCAAGGCCAGCCTGAACTGCATAGCGAGACCCTGTCTCAAAAAGAGCCCCCCGCCAAAAAATCATAAAAGAAATCTGCTATTGCTGTCTCTTTTCTTTTTTTCGCCTTTATGAGACAGGGTCTTGCTATGTAGTTCAGGCTGGCCTCAAACTTGTGACATTACAGGTATGTGCTGCCAGGCCAGGTCCCATCTCTTTTCTTACTCTACATTTTATTTTCCTAATTCAATAATATTGGGTTTACAAATCTAAGCACTCCTCTGAATTTCTTCTGGCAAAGAAGCCAATGACTCTCTCATTATCAGGTTGATGTCTCTCCTCTCCTCTCCCCTCCTCTTGAGACAAGGGCCTTAAAACCATGATCTTACTGCCTCAGCCTTCCAAGCACTAGAATTATAAGCAAATGCCACTGTGCCCGGCTCAGCTGTCTCTTTCCAAAGCTCTTTTTCTTTTATTCAGCCCAGTACCCTGGGTTTGGACAGTCTCACTTCCTTTGGCATCTGTGAACTAAAGTGTCTCCTGGCTTCTTCCCTGATTTCTTTCATTGGCTGCTCTTAATTCTCCCAGTTCTTAAATGTTTTCCCCAAATTCTAAACTTGCGCTGCTGAACCAAATAAGCCATTTGCACCACTGGCCGCAGCTAGTCACTAACAAAGGATGGTAACATCATCTACTGCTTAAACTCAAATCTGTGGTCCACAATGGAATAACAATTGCTTCCTGGATATTTTTATTCGGTTGTTTCATGGCATCTGAAAAAATCGGTCTGGCCAGAATTAAACTCAACTATTTCCAGGGAACTTTATTATCTTTCTTCAATCTTCTACTCTTGATTTTCTAATTTCTTTTTTCTTTCACATCCAACCTGTGACAATTTGTCCATCTTATGTCCTCTGATTCTTCCTCTTTTATAAAACTACAATGAAAGTCTCATATGTACTACTCTACAAGTCTATTGATTCTGTCTCCAGTCTCTGCAGAAATCTAATTTACACACTATTGCCAAAGTGACCTTTTTAAAACATAAATCAGGCTACATTACCGAATTTGCCAATTTACAATCTTTCAATCATTCCCCCCTAAGAATAAAGTTCAGTTTTTTTTCTAGAGGGGGGCTGCTGCAGATTGAACCCAGTGCCTTTATACTGAGCTGTACTTCTAGCCCTTTTCTTATTTTGTGACAGGATCTCACTAAATCATAAAAGTTGCCTAGGTTGGGCTCAAATTTGCAATAATCTTGCCTAAACCTCGTAGAGTGCTGGGATTACAGGTGTGTGCCATCATGTTCAGATCTTGTTCTACAATCTGACTTCTTCATAACTCTCATGCTATCCTTTCTCAAATACAAAGCTTCTTCAGTTGCACACATTTTCTCATATGCTACATTATTTCCTGCTGTGGGGCCTTTGCTCACATTCTTCCTTCTATGTGCAACCCCCTTTACCACCTTTCAAAATCTAACTTTCAACGAAGCCTGATGTGACCCACTAGCCCATTACCCAGAAGACAGGACCACTCCATTTTTTCAACACCCCATCATCCAATGACTCTATCAATGCACCTATAAAATATTTAATTACACCTTATTCTTTTGACAACACTATGGATTCAACCAAGGGCCTTAAGACATGCTAGACAAGCACTCTACCACTGCCCTATCTTTAGCCACTTTTATTTTGAGTGAAGGTCTCACTAAATTGTCTACTCTTGTCTTAAATTTGAAATTCTTCTGCCTTAGCCTGTAATGTTGCTGGCATTACAGGCATGTGCTACCACACCTGGATCACATTCTCTCCCCCCACAGAAAGTAAATTCCTTGAAGACAGGGATCATGTGTTACTCCTTTTTAAAAATCTCCTTTAACTAATGGTGAACACTATCGGTGCGCAATAAATATATGTGGTATAAACTGAAATCTTCAAAACACTCCCAGCGTTTAAATACAAGTATTCCATTTCATAGATTAACAGCACTGGAATTTAAAGAAGTAGTGAAAGGTACTGTGATTAAAGAGTGGGAAAAGTAGAATTTTAAAACAAATTTAACTTCTAAGTCTACTCTTTTTCCTTTTTATCACCAATTCCAACACACTAGCATTTAGTTGTATAAGATAGGAACACATGTTCATGTATGTCTAGAGCTACAGATAGGATTGAACAGTTAACAGCAGTTTTTTGTTCTATTTTGTTTCTCTTATAGGACTCGATAGCCCTTTCATGTGATAATACATATTAAAGTATTTTTGCCCTGAAGACATCTTGATTTTACATTATACCACTGTCTTATTAAAATTGCACTATTATTGAGAAACATACTTAAGATTAGAATTTAAGTAACCAGACAACAACCATTCAGTGATTTTTTTCCATGTGCTCAATAACTGTCTCAGAACACCTTAATTCATTTGAATTAGGGTAGTTTTACTATTTACCTAAAATTCAAATGAACTGAATTACTATTTAAAAATCCTTAGGGGGCAAAAAAATCATCAAATGATGATACAGTGGGTGTTAAAAAAAAAAACTTATGGTCTTAGCTCACTTAAAGTTTGTTTGTTTTTTTGTTTTTGTTTTTTTTGTTTTTGTTTTTTTTTGGTCTTTTTGAGACAGGGTCTCGCTATGCAGTTCAGGCTGGCCTTGAACTCACTTATGTAGCCCTTGGCCTCAAACTCAAAACGATCCTCCTGCCTCAGCCTCCTGAGTGCTGGGATTACAGGCGTGCACCACACCTGGCGTCAATTCCAACAACCAAGAATACTGAAAATGTTTCTTTTAAAAGCATTATATAAATCATCTCACTCAAGATAGAAAAAATAAATACTGTCCTTCCAGCTTAAAGATTATCATCTAGATTTTCAGATAATGAAAGAATTCATTACAACAGAATTAAACATAACTTATTTCAGTGATTTAAAAAAATGCTTCAGAACTACATTTTTAAGGAAACTAAAAACAAATCTAAGTCACTGAAAAAATATGCTAGTAAATTTAAAAAGATCTTTGAAAAAAATGGGGAAAACTGAATTTCTCAAACCCAAATTCTAGTGAATACCTGACTACATAAAAATGGCTCACACTTACCATTTTTATTTGCTGGTGAAAAAAAGTTGAAGACAGGAGAAAATATGGTCCCCAGCAACGTTGTCCTTGGAGGACTGCCAGAGGAAGGATTATCTTCTAATTTCCCATTTTGTTTTACATGTTGATTTGTCATTTCATAGCTACCAGCTTCTAAGAAAAACAAAAAGGTTGTGATCTATAAAACACTGACTTTTAGACATGTTGTAAATATTCATTTTAAAAACAACACCCCCAAAATCACTTCATGAAAACTGATTGTTAATGTTCATAAGTGTTATTAAGAGATATCGAATAGCAAGATTTGGTGGCACATGCCTATAATCCCAGCACTGGGGAGGCTGATGCAGGAGGACTGCTGTGAGCTCAAGGCCAGCCTAGGCTCCATAGTGAGTTCAAGGCCAGCCTGAACTATATAGCAAAACCCTGTTGCAAAAAAAAAAAAAAAAAAAAGGAAAAAAAATATCAATTCTAAATCACTTGATCTTATTGTATCTGTAATAATTCAGAAAGGCTACATTTTCCCAAAGAACAATTACATTTAAAATCATTCAAAGTCTTCAAGAAAAACAAGAAAATGAAAATTCTTTGTAAGCAAGCAAGGAAGTTACTAATATCAAAACATGAATGCAAGATTCTGTTTCTGTTTCCATTTGGGGTGCTGCCTCCATAAAACTTCCCCTCACATCTATTCTTAATGAATGACAGCTACATGACTAGAGGCAACACAGCTCTACTGAAGACAACAGTATTATAGCAGAGTCAAAAAATTACTTATGAGTTCCAAAACAGTATCAGAACTCTATATTGTCAGAGTTATAAAAACACCTAACTTTAAAAAGAGATTTCCAAAAAATTACTTATGAGGGATGGGGATGTATCTCAGTGGTAGTGGACTCACCCAGTATGAGTGGGGCCTTGGGTTCAATCCCCAGCACCACCTCCTCCAAAGCACAAACAAAAATTTTCACAGATACTGAGGTACCATTTCAGAGTGGTTAGGAAGAATAACCAGTTATTTATACGTTTCTTGTAAGTACAGTTAAAAATTTTTTTTGAGACAGGGTCTTGCTTATAGTTCAGGCTGGCCTTGAACTTAGGGAGATCCTCCCAAGTGTTGGGATTACAGGCCTATGTCACCAAACCCAGCA